CATGTTGTTCGCGTCAACAGGTAAACCCTACATATTTAGTGACAAATTAACAAACGAAAAACAAAACAAAACAAATAAAAATCATAATTGTCTAAATTTGTGTACCCTAACAATTTGTCGAAGAAACTTTGTAATTGCTTTCAAATCAGCTTCTATGCCACCCATACTCTCATCCATACGCTGCTCCATCATCCTCAAGCGCTTCTCAACCTTCTTCAATTGCACACTAGACATGCAAACTTTTTTCTTACCTTTGGATTCCTCATTGTCCAAATCACGGTCTTTCTCAACCATCTAAACGTCCACACAATTGAATGGTCCCTCACGTACAGCCGATGGTCCAGCATCATCACCTCGGCCCACATCAGGATTCTGTGTGCCCTCACGTACAGTCGATGGACCAGCATCAAAATCTCTGACATCATCATCCTCTGGTTCAGGTGGTTCGAAGGTTCGCCTCATGAAGTTCGTCTCTGCATCAGTTGCCTCTAATCTTCGCGTTCTTCTCTGAGTCAATAGTAAGGTAGCACCGGGATAAATATGAGAAATAATTTGCAACGCGACAAACATTCAAATCAAACTTACAGTTGTAGACCGAAAAATCTCCCGATCGAGAACATGCCATGTAGTCGAATGGCTGCACCTCCACCGAAGGATACGTGGCACTGCTTCCTCGAGAACTTTATATGCAACCCGGCCTTATAGGGAAGATATCACCTCATATGTCCACACCTGTACGAATAAGCGATTTGCATTATAAACCATAATTGATATCAACGGCCCAGAATAACAAAAAATATATTTATGTCTATGCCTGGAACACCCATGGGAAACCATACAAGCTATATGATTTCCTCAACCCGAAGTCTTTTGCCATGTTTGTCGGGCCACGATGAAGACTACGTATCGTCTTATCGAACGACAGGGACGCCAAGTCATGGTTGCAACAAAGCTCCCAATCATCCACTACTCCTAATAGTATTTGGTCAAACTTCATAGTTGTCTCTCTCCCTAGCAATACCAGTTCTACCATGTAAATAATCGATACCTTGATCACATCGAAGTCATCTTTAAACAGGGCGGCTATGTACAGTTTTACAAAATCACTCAAGACATCGTTCGTCCTATCATTAAAGTACAAGGTTCTAAGTTTATGAGAATGTGTAACTTTCCTAACTGGGCTCCTGTCATAGTGTAGGCCACTAATAAGGTCAAACTCCCTCCGTCCAAACGACACCCTCCTCCCAAAAAGGTTGAAACTAATCGTGTTTGGTGTACTATCCTCAACCTCCCTAAGTAAGATATTGTGTATCAACGGTCCGTTGAAAACGAGGTCCACATCGAGCAGATGACCGAAAATAGTTTTCCTAAACATGGCTAGCTGTATAGGGGTAAGTTTTTCCTTAATATCATTGTCTGTCTTGCTAGGTGAGATAGACAGGTCGCGTTTGCAGAGGCGTAGATTTTAGGGTCAATTTCCAGTCTCATTTCCATACTTCAAACCTAAATATGAGTAAAAACATAATTGAATACGATAGCCATACAAACATAAACAAGAAAGAAAAAAAAACAGTGGTCAAGCAATGTTCTCTCTTAATTCTCGGGGGCATCTCGATCGATATCTGGTTAACTTCAATTTCTCGTGCCAAAAAAAAACCATAGATGAATATTCAATTTCTCGTGCCAATCCAGGGCGAGATACCTCCCGAGATATAACATATAAAACTTAGCGAGCGAGATAAAACGAGAAAGCATGCGACAGAAATATTATTTCTGTTAAATTTCTCGAGTTATCTTCACTGAGAATACCCAGAGAAATTTAACTGAAACAATACAGCACATCTGAATTTCTCGGGGTACCTCAAACGAGATGCTTCGATATTCATTTCTCGTTGAATCACGCTCGAGATACCCTGAGAAATTTTTACGAGAAATGAAACCCAGAAACCAGAATTCGCCCTTAAACTTGTCAGATCCAAACCAATTTGCCCTAAATAATTTCAAAAACCTAATCAATTCGCCCTAAATCGCCTGAAACCCATAAATCTTTCACATAAATGTTAAAACGTAAACCCTAAACCCACAACTTCGAACAAGAACTCCACAAAGAAATTAAACAAGAACACCACAGTGATTACGTGTAAGTTTAGTGAAATCCTAACCTTGATTTTGCGGGCGAGGCGCAGGCGAAGGCGTTAAACAATCCACGAAGAAGGTGTTGAATCGCACGCACAATAAGAGAAAAAGGGGGAAACGAAAAAGGAAGAAGCGCACGATCTAGAAAGATGAAGAGAGGGAGGAAGAAGGAAGAAGAACTTGAAGTGGCATGGCCAAGAAAGATGAAGAGAGGAAGAAGGGGAAGAAGTTGAAAAGCATGAGAAAGATGAAGAGAGGGAAACTTAGAAGCACAACGGTTGTTTTTTAATTGAGGGCATAAACGTAATTTTATCATTTTTAAAGTTTATTAAAATAATATGGTGGGTCATTCAAAACAATTTTTTAGGCGGGGTTATTTGAGCAACAAGTTTCTTTAGGAGGGTTATTTATGTCATTTTCCCATGAGTTAGGACTTATTAATGTATCTTTCTTTTTTACACCTAAAATTGGACATCTATTTTTTATAATGTTTCGAATAATTATTAATTTTTTGGAAACGAAAAACACTTGTCGGTTTACGCTGGTTTCAGTTTTCATATCCATATCTATACAACTTTTGGGCAATAGCAAATTGGCAATACGTTGAAATTATTGGCTTTTTGTGCAAGTGTCGCTCGGTAAAGACATCTACTTTCTTTCAAAATTGCTACCATTACACTACAAATTAAGACTTAAATCTTAAACGTTACTCTCGTAATTCCAACCAGAATTTGAAACAAAAAATGACAACTCCAATCTAATCTTTCCCTTTACGAGCTTTGGAAACATTCTCCTAGTTGCTAATTTAAAAAAAAAAACACTTGATAGATTATTAAAATATAAAAAATTTATTTTAATAATTTATGCCCTTGAAAATGATTATCCAAAAGAAAAAGTAAAGAAAACAGTCTCATTTTTTTTAATACAACATGTGGGGATGGAAGATTCAACTCACAATCTCTTAATTAGAGATATATACTAATTATAGCTGAGTGCTCGCTTTGACTTAAATTAAAAGATATACCATTCAACTCGAATAAAGCTTAATTGAGTAAGAAATATATACATCTGGGTGTTTAATACTCGACCACGTATTTCTTATCATCTCCGACCACACCACATGTTTCTTTTATATACATATGAAAGTCACACACCATAATTCAATTGAAGGCTCAGCCATGGAATCCACTTCCAATTGCCTTCAATCTCTCATGAATTCTGTGAATTTCTTGCTCCCATGGCGGTGGATCAACACCAACCGCACTTTCTTTTCACCTTTTTCCTCGCTTTCCTACTCGTTATGTACTTCCAACTTCCGTGGCGCTCCCGGCTTCCGCCGGGTCCACGTGGCATTCTAGTACTCGAAAATCTTCCTTTTATAAAATCATAGCTCCACACTTTGCAGAGCTGGGGCAAAAAATACGGCCAAATCGTAAACCTCCAACTGGGCAAAAAAATTGGCATAGTCATCAACTCAGCCAACATGGCACGCGAGGTGCTCAAGGACCATGATGTCACGTTCGCAAACCGTGACATTTCTTTCTCCACCAAAGCCTCCGCGTACGACGGCTACGATATTGCCTAGACGCCGTATGGAGTCGAGTTGCAGATGTTGAGAAAAATAAGCAAGCTCAAGATGCTGGGCGGCGCCGCCCTAAACTCCAGTCTATGAATTTCGTCGGAGAGAGGTGAGAAACGCGGTGCGTTACTTGTATATCCAAGTTGAAGCTAGATCTGCCATTGACGTGGGAGACCAAGGTTTTGTGACGGTTCTGAATGTGATCACTGCCATGTTGTGGGGTGGAACGGCGGTGGAGGGAGAAGGGGCGAAGTTGAGAGAGGTGGCGGCGGAGATGTTACGCCTACTGATGGTGCCCAATATTTATGATTTCTTTCTGAGATTGGTCAGCTTTGATATCCAAGGCATAAGGAGGCAAATGAATAAGCTGGTACGAAGGTTTGACAAAATATTTAGTAGAATCATTGATCAAAGACTATTAGAAGCTGCCGATGATCAAAAAATGGATTTCTTGCAATTTATGCTCGAGTTGGAAGACCACGAACGGGATTCTGAAATACCTTTCACAATCAACCATCTTAAAGTCTTGCTCATGGTAACCAATCAACAACATAATCTTACAAAATTGTTGTTTGCAAAATCAAATATTATAAGAAAAGCATGGACTTCTTTAAAAAACAATGAGTTGTTAAATTTTCATTGGTTTCACCAGGGAGTTAAATATTTTCTAGAGAAAAATATAAAAATAGATCATTTTTATAAAAATTAATGAGTTGTCAATTTTTCAATAAGGTGATGACAAGTTAAGAAGCCAAGTATTTTTCCATGTAATAATTAATGAATTGCATGGATCACGAGTGTTGAAAATACCTGATGACGCAAGAAACTCAACCAACCTAACTTGACTTGACTCGTACAAACTACTTTGAGTTAGGTTACAATAAACTTGATTGGATTAGGTTGTATTGAAATAAATGAAAATTTTTTAGGAGGTCACTCAACCTAATATTGCTTTACTAAGCCAAGCACACTTAACTTGAAAGTTTATAAGATGAGTCATTGAAAAGTAAGGTGCATGTATGGGTAGTATAGTACATCTATCATTTTTTTAAACCTTTCTTAATCATGCTTCCATGATCTCATGATTGTACTGATCCATTCATGTACCCATCTTCTCTACTCAGGTGTCACATTAGCATTTACTTTTTTTTTTCTTTTCTTTTCTGTTACACAATATTTTGAATGAATGATCCAGCTCAAATATTTCAAGATTCGATTGGAGTGGGTTTGGTTCATTAATTTAAATAAGTGTATTGTTTGAATTGAGTTCGAAAAATACTTTCAACAAGTCAACACCATAGCATAGTTAAGAATTGAAAGTTTACTCAAGTTTCCAAAATTGATAAATTATGAAATGCTGATTGTTAACAGGATATGGTGATTGGTGAGACTGACGCATCGTCAAACACCATAGAGTTTGCTATGGCGGAGATGATGAAGAACCCATAAGTTCTAAAGCAAGCACAACAAGAACTAGATATACCATAGTGGGAGAAGAGATATCGTCGAAGGATCTCACGTACATAGTTTGTCATATCTCCAAGCCATAGTGAAAGAAACTCTGTGTTTGCATCCTGCTCTGTCGTTGCTCACGCCTCATAGCCCCAGCGAGCCCACTGCCATTTACAACTACACAATCCCAAAGGAGTCTCGAGTTGTAATCAACACGTGGGCAATTCATCAGGACTCGTGCTATTGGGAGATGTCATTAGAGTTCAAGCCAGAGAGGTCTCTTAACAACGATTGGGATTATAGTGGGGGTGATCTCTTTTACATTCCATTCGGATCTGGCAGAAGAATAAGTGCAGGGATTGCCAAGCGAAAATGATGGTTTTGTATTTTCTTACTACGCTATTGCATTCATTTGATTGGAAGCTGAAAGAAGGTGAGAAAATGGATGTTTCTGAAAAGTTTGGAATTGTTTTGAAGAAGAAGACGCCCTTGTTGCCGTTCCGACGCAGAGATTTGCTGACTTGTCTCCCTATAAGTAGATTACGTGATTTGGCTACAAGTAAGGTCGAAGAATTCCAACTCACGACGTCTTAATAAAAGACAGAAACAAATCTCAATTACTGCTGATATAAGTCCAGGTTGGTGTGATTTGGTTCGCTTCTATCCCTATATATTGGGAACAAAGAATGGAACAACTATGCACAAAATAAAAATAGAGGCAAACTAATACAATGAGAATACCAAATGCATAGTTTGATTCCTGTGAAAAGGGATGATGTTGTGTCTTTATATAGGCTTATAACCATCACAAAAATAGCATGCCACTAACTCCACTAATGTAGTGTTCCCTAAACTTAGAATCCATCATCCCACTAACTTAGTGCCACCATAATTTGTGCCACTATCCATTATCTCACTTCCCAATTAGTGCCACTAAATTTGAGTCAATCCTTCAATACTCCTTCTTGATTCAAATTTGCAAACTCCAAGCAACACTCTAAAGTAACAAAATTTCTCCTTTGACAAAGACTTCGTAAGTATGTCGACCCATTGTTCGTACGTGCTACAATACTTCAGAGCAATGTCTCCCTTCGTAACTAATCATGGATGAAATGGAAACGTATATCAATGTGCTTTGTCCTGCTATGAAATGTTGGATTCTTCGTCATTGAGATCGTTGCTTTGTTGTCTCAGAATATCTTTGTTGC